CGGGGGGCGCGGAAGCGGCTCGTGGGGCTCTACGAGAACAGTCCCAAGCGTGTGGGGCAGTGCCTGGGGGGGCTGCTGAGACATGCCCAGTCCAGTCTGGGCTGGGGGAGGGGAGCAGGGACGGCTAGGCCAGCTGTGTGCAGCCGGGGTGTGCAGCATAATTCAGAGCAGCTTGAAGGCTGCTCTAAACGATCCCAGCTGCTAGTGGCCCCAGGGGGGCTGATCCATCAGCCAGGGACTGCCAGCCAGGCACATTCCTTCCCCCAACCCTTGCCCTGCATCGGTCGCAGGAAGGGAAGGGGGGAAGGAAGGGGAGCTACTCAGTCCCTAGCCTCCAGCCAAGCCCCTGGTTTTGGGGCAAACGCTGGCACTAGGATGGTCCAAAGGAGGCCTGCACGACTCGGGAAGCGGCGCGGGCCATATTCCTCCAAAGCAAACAGCTGCAGGCCGCAGGTGCGGATGCTCTCCCCAAAAAGACCGAACACGCGGACAAACATGTTTGTCTCCAGCCTCTCCTGCACCCGGCCCCTTGGTGTCTTCCCCTTTCTCCTGACCTGCCCCCTCCCCTGAGCACAAGCCCCTTCCCAGCTTCTGCCTTTTTTAAGCCGGTGGTCGCTGGCCGTGACGTCACGCCAGCCCTCTGGCTCGCGCCGGAGCTGCACGCAGGCCGCCCCGGCGGGCCGCATGCAGCCCTGTTGTGCAGGCCTGGGCCCAAAGGCTGGGGCGACGGGGGTGACCCTGCTGCAGGGCAGAGTGGGAAGAACGCTGTCCCACCCGAGGACCATTCGAATGAAACATCATTCCGCCCTGTGGCGCCGCTGCGGAGAACACGGCGGGGCCCTTGTTACTGAGGCACAATTCTTCCCTGGTGCGCGAAGATCTGGGCTCATTTCTGCAACTGCCTCCTTGGGTGACCTCGGGTGACCTTGCGCAAGTCACTGGGAAAGAATAAATCTGCTTCCGTTTCCCCATCTGCAAAGCAGGAGCAATGCCGCCCGCGGTCCCTGTGGAGGGCCAGCTGTCCGGAGCAGGGGCTGCCTGCGGCCAGGGGTGCACAATTCTTCCCTGGTGCGCGAAGATCTGGGCTCATTTCTGCAACTGCCTCCTTGGGTGACCTCGGGTGACCTTGCGCAAGTCACTGGGAAAGAATAAATCTGCTTCCGTTTCCCCATCTGCAAAGCAGGAGCAATGCCGCCCGCGGTCCCTGTGGAGGGCCAGCTGTCCGGAGCAGGGGCTGCCTGCGGCCAGGGGTTGTACAGCCCCGTGCACCGCGGTGCCTGGAGCTCAGTGGGAATCAGGAGGCGCCAGAGCAGGAAGGACAAGGGGAGCTGACGTCTCGGTTCGCCGCAGGTGGCTGGGTTCTGCAGCCTGCTGCTGGCTGCCCGCCCTTCCCTTCTGCTGCTGGGCCTGAGCGCAGCGTCAGCAAACCTGCCTTGGATCCACCCCTGCCGTGCCCTGGGGCTGCTCCTCACGCTGCGC